ATCTACTATAAATGATCCATCTCCTTCAGTAAATCCTATTAATCAATATTTTAATGTTGAACCTAAACTTTTTTTATTCTCGATCTTCTCTAATCTTTCATATCTAGTCTCTGAGGAAATATTATCTTTTCCTGCTGATTGTTCTAATTCTTGGATTATTCCGAACAATATTTTATTGAGTGGACCAAGAACTTTCAAACTTTCTCTGCATTTTATGAAATTTAACGAGAGCCCAACTTTACCCTCCATCGCATCTGGTAATCAAGTGTGAAGACCTAACTGTGCTGATTTTGCCATTGCTCCTATTAATACTAATATTGATATTATTGTTAATAATTCTACATTTATTAATGGTGCTAAGCTAAATATTGTTGATAATTCTAAGTTTCCAAATACTCATATTATTACTATCATTCCTAATGTTAATCCTCAATCTCCTATTCTATTCATTATTAATGCTTTCTTTGCTGCTTTATTTGCTTGTATTCTTTTAAATCAGAAATTTACTAATAAATAAGAGCAAATACCTACACCTTCTCACCCTATGAATATTAATAATAAATTATCTCCACTTACTAATACTAGCATAAAGAAAGTAAATAATGATAAATAACTATAAAATCTTGGTACATGAGGGTCTGCTCCCATATAATCTGTTGAATAAAAATGAACACAACATGATACTATTAACACTGGTAAATATAAACTTACACTTAATGTATCTATATTTACTGATCATGATATTTCTAAATATTCACTATTTATTCATTCTATTATTCATATATTTACTGGTGATTCTGATATTGCTACTTCATAATATGCTATTATTGATAATATACAACTTATTGTTATTGCTGTACATCCTAATATTTTACTTCCATAAATCCCTAATTTTCTCCCTAATAAACCTATTAAAATACCACTTAATAATGGTAATATTATTATTGATAAATACATATCTTTGTTTTTTCTTTCTCATTTTATCTCCTCTTTTATACAGTCCTCTACGCTCCTGTCCCGCCTACGGCTGATGTTCTTGACTCTTTTCTCTCTCTAGATCCTTTCTTTTCTTATTAGTTTATTAATATGTTTGATACTGGTATATGTAATGATTCTAATATTATATTTGGATATACTCCTATTATCATTGTTATTATTATTAATGGTAATAATATATATACTTCTCTTCTATCTAAATCATTCATTTTTCCTATATATACACTTTCTACTCCAAAACTTACTCTATTATAGAATCATATTGAATATCCTCCTGCTAATACTATTCCTGATGTTGCTAATACTGTTGCTATTGGATTTGCCTTAAATGCTCCTAAGAAACTCATAAATTCTCCTACAAAGTTT